ATCTGGAGTGATTCYACTGACCTAAATATAATTACTTAGAGCAGAATTAAAGGCACAAGCACATAGCTTAAAGCACRTGTGCCTGGAAGAAGAGATCAGAATCTCAGCTTTCAATACTAAGTTAAATGCTTCTAGACCTTCAAACAAGGAGCATGCGTAGACAGAATAATCTTGTTAGATCCACTATTACACATTGAAGAAAAGTAGTCAAATTTTGAGTTCACAGAACGTTTTCCAGATCTTCCCCTGAAACTGCAATGTAAACTGCCATCAGTTTTCAGACAGTGACCAAGCACTGTGGATTACCCAACCCAAGTTACCTTCTTTGCATTCATTCTAACACTTTAATTGTCCCCAAAGCCACAAAGACCCTTTGGCAGTAGGGCTGTTCCAGCGCTGTTTTCTTGGGCTCTTTTGAGTTGTTTTCTCACCATCTCAGTTTCTAATACTAATTCTGACTAAATACAAAAATATATTATTAGCAATTTCAAGTTGAGGCAGGGCTGTCACAATTGACTGCTTGTTCAGAGAGAAAGAGGATGTTTTGGCATGAAGGGCAGTTGCATGTGAGTTAGAGCTGCTGGTTCTCAAGTGTGGATGGGCTGTGTCTGATGTGCAGAAAACTGTTCTAGTCCTTAGTCTGATGAGCACTCCTAGCTGGCTATTTGTGTCTCTAAAATAATACCACTCCATCAAAAATTAACAAATACAAAGAAATTTTGTTTTAAATGACAAAATGCAAGGGTTCTTCTCCAGTTTGTATACACCGCACTGCAACAAGGTGATCCAGGGCTTCATCCTAAGAATGTGTCTCAGATTGAAAAAAAAGTATGTGGTTGTTGTAAGATTTCAGAGAAAAGCACTGCTGCTTCTCACTCTATGTGGCAATTTGCTGAATAATATATCATTTTGTCAACTGTTATACAGCAATCAATMAAATGCTACCTGTGCTACCTGTACACAAGACACAGGAATGAAGTTTGTTATGGAAACAGACTCTTACTAAATTGTGTGACTTGCCTGAAATAAAAATCTCCGTTTTATTCTTGCGTTTTTAAAGGCATGGGTTGTTTTCTCTTCAGCCTAGTAGTAGTTGCAATTTATCTAGCTCAATCTGAGTTGAAATCATCACTTCTGCAAAGCTAGTATGATGACCTGTGTGCCTCTGRAACTACAGAGAGGATCATCAAGAAAGCAAATCTACTTTAGATTTATCAAGAAAGCCTACCTGCTTTGTGTTATCTTGGTCATCTAAACTGTTTAGTCTACAGCAGAAGTCAAACCAACATTTACTAGAAAATAAAAAGTTTTTTCTTTGAGTCTTTGATTTTGATTTCTCCACGAATATGTATAAACATGTGTGAAATCTGTGCTTCCATTTTTATCATATTCCACAAACATTCAAGCAATCAGGTACTACGCTCAAGTATAATCAAGGCTTATGTTTATGGAAAATAAGCTTCAAGGTTGGACAGATAAGTGTTTGAAAAATTAACTTAAAATCTGCACAAGATGTAAGCATGATAGAATTGTGAATGATCTGATTAAAAATATTAATCTCATTATCTAGACCTCCTAGAAAGCAGCTTGTCCACAGTAGATTTATCATACAAATATTATAAACACTTTGTTAACATTATAGAATGATCTCTTCTTTCTAATCCTTCACATAAGAATACAATATCTTGGAGAAAAATATTTTTTRTTTTGAAACACCAGCCTGGGCATGGCTCTCTTAATCTTTCCAAGGCTTGTTTTTTCCCCTCCTTTTCTCCAGACTCTTGATAACATGAATATTTCCCAGCTCTGCAGAATACTCGTACAAGCAAGGGGCACATTAGTTGCTTATATTTACTGTCACTGGTGATTTCACTAATAAGCAAAGTTGCATCATGCCTTTTCCTATAAGGAGAAATGTAACAGCTTGTTTAAATAATAATGTCTAAATAGCAATGGGCAAAATGGTTGAGCGAGTACAGAAGATAGTAGTTACTTAAAAACTGGTCCTGACAAACCTGATCATATGTAAAAACAAAAAGTAGAAACGGAGATAAAGGAGKAGATTTCTTATTTCACGTGCCAGTTGTCTAAGTATTGTAAAAATATTATTAAGCAGTCATCATCCTTTTTTTTTAAGTTTCAGTTAGTGTTGAGTATAAAACTGCTTYGTAACAAGGGCTACTGTACCTTCCCCTGTTTGCTTATGCCTCTAAGATTGACATTCAGGTTAATCACTAGATGTTAAGTCTGGATGAAATGTAGCGTAAAACCTTTGACTGAGATGATAATTATTTCCTAGGGTTCAGATGACCAAAAAACTCATTTGAAAATGTTCATATATAGTAACAGTTAAAAAYATTGTATTTCATATCTCTTGAAAAATCTTCTTTTTTGATCTTGGGTTTGATTCCTCAAGAAAAACAATATAGTGCATCCTTTGTTTAAGCTAATACAAAGCACAATAATTAATCCTCTTAGTAGATAAGAGTAACTGGATTTTTTGCCTTATTGGATTTCATGCAAACCTGGAGCAGTGACATGGGTGGCCTTTACCGTAGGTCTTGGATATAAAAACWGAGCTCAAACGTCTAGATCAACAGAAGCAACACAAATTCTTTGCTGTTTTATGGCCAACAAGTTAAAACTTGCTTAGGAAAGACGATGCATTGTGCCCATCCCCACAGGATGCACTGGGCCCATTTCTCACTTCTGTCTCTGTGCTTTTATTGATAACTGTTTTCCCTGCTTTGAAAACAGGAATTAGAAGTTAGAGATGAGTCTTAGTTGAAAGAGCTTCATTTTGAAAAAAAAWGAAAAAAAAAAAAAGCATTGGACTTTGGCTTGGCAGACTGAAAGATTTTTTTCTTTACCATATGTTTTTGACACTGATGAAACTGTTTCTAATTATTCCTAGTGATAAATCTTTTCCTTTCTGCTCAGAAGGTTTATCATTCTAAATATGAGCATCATAAAAGTGCCAGCAAAGCCACAATATTAACATAATCTTAGTTTTCAAATTATAGAAACAAAAAAGGATGTATTTAGAAGTTCTGAGTGTGCGTGTGTATGTGTAGATGTGTTTGCAATTACTCAATACAGGTTCAAACAAAAGCCAGGCTCTAAATTCTGGTTTGAGCTTAATAGTATGAGCTCGTTGCTGACATTGTTATGATTTCTTGTCTTGTGACAGTACCAAAAAGCTTTAGCTAGGATGGATATACCAAAATAATTACCAGTCCCATGGGCAATTTGGTTTCAATGCTTAGAACTTTTGTCTTTATTTACATTTGTCTCTACTGACGTTAATCTGTCAGATTTTAGTCAAATCAATATTAGCCACTRTGAAAATTCCACCTCTGAAAGTGGTAATGAGGTAGCTACATTTTTGCMGTGTTTTTGTTCAGTCAAAATCTTTTTTTTTTTCCAAAGGTAGGATAAAAAATAGATTTCCCTGTGAAGCAAATAAGGTCATTTGTATGTGCCGGGCCATCACTACTGTGATTTTAGTAGTGAACTACTGCGGAAGGAARCAGAAGGAAAAGCATATCTTGTTTATTCATTTGTTTAGGAGCATATCACATACTATAAACAAAAATAGCAAATATCATTATACTTTTTTCAAGCCAAATTTCTTTGAACACCCCATTTGGAGGATTTTAAATGTCTACCACTGAATAGCTGGCAATGCTCAAAGAGCATCTGCTTTTTTTGCTTGCATGATCTCTAATAACGTGTTTCAAACTATTGTGCTTGCCTAGGGCCTAGAAAATTGTTATTGATTTTTCGTGAAAAGCAATAGGGTTTTTGTTGATTGAAAGCGTGGTGATATTGCACATCTCTCAATTTTGTTTACACTTTTGTTTTCTACTTCAAATGACAGGTACAATAGTTAATGAATRTCACATATTGCTGTAAAATCTCTGCCCTTTCCAATTTATGTGTGGCTCAAATGACCTGTATCTTACATCTTCAGTAGTTGCATCTCAAAGAACTCTGGTTCTTCAGACTGGATAATCATTTGGTGAACGCTGGTACAGAGCAGGTTTGGGCAGAGCAAGGAGGGGACCCTGACCTGTGAAATTACTGAATCCCTTTGCATATCATCTGTGAGAAGTAGTTGCTTTTTTCCTGAAAGATGGGAGGGCAGGAACACAGGTTATAGTGAAAAAATTTGAATGAGTACTAGGAAGCAAGGTTATGTGCCTAAACTTGGAATATGAGCCACAGATGGGGTCTTGAAATATATTTCCCAATTTAGCAATGTAAACATACATTTTCTAATTATCTGATATGTGATTTAAAAAACACAGTTGAAGTATTTGGTCTAACAATGCACAATGCATAAAAAAAAGTGTCATATAAACCGGAAGAAATAAATGGTATGGAATAAATGGAAGAAACAAACTGTATGGAGGAATTTCCTGGGCATCTCTCAGATCTGGTGTTTGTACAGAGCTGATCATAGGAGGTAAAAAAGCGAAACTACTGCATTTGGAGAAAAGGAAAGAATGCAAACATACAGTATTATCGTGCTCAAATAGCAAAGTTCTCTGAGTGATTCTGCAGAAAGACCRTGCCTGCTTACATGTACCTACAATTCATTTGAGAAAAAGAAATGGATCCTTGTGTAAGCTTTTAGGAGCTGCTTTAGGCCTTGGTGACCAGCTGCATTAAATACAATGCTATGATGTTAGACTTCCAATATGTTTCTGGTTAYACATAACAAATGCAGTAAGTAACTTTTAAAGACAGTTTTGTCTGCAAATGTATATGAATAAAAGTTTGTAAACAGGAATAATCATTTTCTTAGGAGATCTGATAATAGTTGGAGGAAAAAAAAACAGCCTGAGCATACAGTTTAGGTCTCGTGGAGTTRTAAACTTAACCATGACTATAACAAGACTTTTCCTACAAATATAAATCTTGAGTGCCTGATCTCTTTTCCTCTCCTTCATCTGCTTAATCTGCTTATTGGAAGCCATTATTTTCTTTTTCTATAGATGTATTTGGGCACAAGCAAGTTTGGAAATGGCATGTTGGAATTCTTGCCTTTATCCTTGCTGTGAAATTGCTTCTCCTTGCTGTGAAGTTAGATCTTTCAATGTCAGTTGAAGATACATATCCTATGTAAGTATAAATGTGTTGCTGTGCCCTACTTTTACCTAGTTCTTGCCTCATCCTCGATTGCCTTTCCTCTTTCCTCAAGGTGCTACTCTTCCAGGGAGCCCAATATCTGGGCTCTGTCCATGCAAACCTTTGCACAGTTGTGCTAGGAGTTCCACAGAGCAAGGGGATTAGTATTTGCAAGAGTCTGAGCCAGGAATAAAGTTGGAAAACAGACCCTGCTCTATATATTCTCCACAGAGCAGAACCTTGGTTCTTCTTGGGAGCAGGCCTTTTGCTATGAGAAACTCTTCTCTGCTTCCATGTCCCACCATTAATTCCCCTGGCTGGAGGTTCCTTTATGACTGTATTGGCCACCAGTATCACTTATTTTATTACAGTAGGGACCCTACTACTACTGCCCTTGCTGTCACCTTGTTTGATATGGAAGGGGTCTGCTTTTCTCTGTAATGCTAAAGGAAATAACTCAGTCCCAAATTCTTATCCTCAGGGATATGAGCAAATGATTCTTTCCAGCTGACCAGATTCCTCTGGTCTCTAGGCTTAGCAGACCCCAGCTCAAGGAACTGCAGCTGAAATCCAACTGCCCAATCCCGAGACCTCCCATAATACTCTTATTCAGCATTGTTGGTTTTATTGCTGCCATAACGACTCTTCTTATTATATAAAAGAAGAGAGAATGAGCCATCTTTCCCTCTGTTTTTAATACCACAGCTTTTAACGGAGCACGCTGTGCACATGAAAAACGAGAAGGGGGAAGGCATGGGGATCATTCGGAGTGGCTGCTGAAGTGTATAAATATTCCTTCTCACATTCCGTTGTGCTTGCTGGGTGTGCCTGTTGGAGTGACTGACTGTTGACTGACTGGCTGGGGACAAACAGCTAAGACAGTGACCAAGAATGTGGAGGATGCCCYGATTGTGCCGGTATCTGAAATGGTTTCCATGGCAGTAGTCAAAACAGGAGACTGTGCCCTGGTGAGGCTGGCATACAAGCCAGTTTCTATGGTATTGGCAAAAAAAAAAAAGAAAAAAGTGTAATGCTTAGATTTTAGTTGGGTATTTGTGGTGTTTTTCTGAGGCACTAATCAGGACAAACTGATGCCTGGGGCTGGCAGAATGTTTGTGGTGGCTTTATCTGTAGATGGTGATTAGGAGCAGGTGGAAATGGTGGTAGGAAATGGAGAAGGTCTGAGGTCATTGGCTAAACTCAGGTCAAGGGAGCAAATGTTCCTGTGATGTGGATGCAGTCCATGTGTTCTCAGGGTAATTTCAAGGGCTCTTGAYGAGGTGGGACCTGTGGAGGCCTGAGGATGGGCTTTCTGGTCAGGGTGAAGTACAGTCAGGATACGAGGATACGCTTTCTGTCAGTGCAGGGCATGAGGCCACATGACTCTTCCTAAAGGCCAAACTGGGGTGGATTAGCCTATCAGTGTAGAGAGTTTTAGTGCAGGTTAGCAAGAGGTGTGCCTTAAGGTGGCTGAAGCAGGAGGGCATTTTGGAAGCAGAAGGCAGCGCTTGGTCCAAGTGTCTGGTGGCTTCTGTTATGCTATGACGGGTGAGGCACACTTTTCATGTGAGGCAGCTACCCAAAGCCGAAMGCACTGCTGACAGGAAGGGGCCTTCACAGCCAGGCTGCCTTTGGGATTGTTTCTGTGGCCCTGGCTAGGCACAGGGTGGCCGTTTATGCCGGGTGGTCTCTGCTTCAYGCTGGCGTTGCCGGTTGTGGGGGGCAGGTGAGCGGGGAGGTGCTTCGCCCTCCACGCGCAGCACTTGGAGAGCGGGCCCGAGGCTGGGGGCGGGTCGGGGGAGCGCCCGGGGCGAGGCTGGCGGCTGCCCCGAGCAAGTGGGGCTGGCGGGGCCGCCCGCCCGGCCCG